TTTTCGCTGGCAGAGGGTCGCAGGAGGCCGTGGCAGTTGAAAACGGAGCTCAGGAGCCTGTTTTCTCTGACAGAGTGCTTGGGCTACCAAAGGCGCCCCCGACATGCGTGACATCGAGCTGGCCACACCCCCTGGGCAGGGCTCCCTGTCTCCCCCCCCTCCCTAAGGTCAAACACAACTCTGATGTGGCCCTCAATGAAATTGAGCTTGACACCCCTGGAACAGATGGGTTTTTTTCCTCAGCATGTATTCAGAAATTCCTCTGTTTTCTTTGCATGTCCATCCTGACATCTGATTGTTGAAGGACCAATGGATATACATTGCCAAAATGCTGCCAATATTGTTCATATACTTTCTCACTGTTTAGTTTACATTCTTTTCCTCACCCTGTAAACATTAGGTAACACTGAAAATAATTAGGCATTCATAGTTAGATTTACAACTCAACTGTGAATGAGTCCTGTGCACAACTCTTATACAATGTCCGTAATTTTCCAGTGAATATGTGAAATTTTAGCATTCATATAACGTACGCACTTGTGTCTCTGTTCAGAAACTGATTAATATTGAAAGAAAGACAGATCCTACAGCTGATAATACGCCAACAGTTGTTCTAGTCTTGTGTAACTACATTAACACAAAATAAAACTTTAGTTCAGGGTCAAAGTGGTACCCCCTCCCCCCAAGCTCTCTGTCTCACCCGATTTTCATGTTTTTTTAAAATTAATTTATTTTTTAGAGAATAGGAAACAGGCATGCTGCAATGCAAAGCAAAATGCTCTAGCACCATATTAATTTGGAGCATGCCTTTGGGCCCCATAAAGGCCCACTGGGAGAGTAGAAAATACGCTTGGGGGGAGTGAGTTGTTCTCTGGCTAAATGGGCATTTGGAGACCACCGTTGCTCATTGCAGCAACCATTATCAAAACAGGAAAGTCTGACTGAGGGCCCTTTGGGGAGTAATGCTCATCATGTGCTCTCAACATTATGAATGTGCCCCTAAGTTGAGTCCAGTTCCCTACATGGCTAAGGGAACCTTGATCTGTCTGAAGCCCCTGAGCAGAGAAAGCCCATACACAGTGGTTTCATTGTCTCCCTGCAGGGATCCTTGCCAGTGGCCCTGTGATACTTCTCGTGAAAACTTTGATCTTCCAGCATTTGCATACCCTGAATGATTTCAGTGATAGTTGGCTGTTCTTTTATGGGCCTTTTCAGCCTTCTAATAAACTTCTGGTTTGCCTTAATCCAGTAAAGCTGTAATAGCATTTGCTTGGGAATAAATCTCCTTGAACTCTGCAACCCTAACCCTGAGAAAGTGAACAGGCTGTAAACCCATTCCGAGATACAACATGACTCTATGTGTTTTGTTAAAAATCTTTTCTGTTCAGCTTCGAGTTTAAAGGGGCAGAGAGACTTACTTATCAAGAAGCAAATCCCACAACTATACAAGCAGTGCTTACAATACATCTGAGTTGACAAGAGATAAGACTGTCCTCTAATTTATGGATACTTTGTTGTTCCATACAAAAAGCTTCAAGGATTTAT